TAAATAAATAAATAAATAAATAAATAAATAAATAAATAAATAAATAAATAAATAAATAAATAAATAAATAAGCAAACAAATATACAAACAAACAAATAAACAAACAATAAATAAATTTCACAATCGACTATACAACATTATTATCGAATTTTCTGTTGTGAACGTGATTTGTTTTGTGAGCGTGTCACGTAAACTTTTAATTTATTTTGGCTTATGTGTAAGTGGAGAGTACGCATTACCTTTCAGCATTTCGTTGACGTGTGATGTGAGGTACTGAATTCTCCACGTGTCTTCAAACATGGGTTCATCTTCGCTGTGTTCGGCCACGCCATTCTCTGTGATGTATATAACAGGCTTGTTGAAATTCTCGTTGATCCAGTTGAGGAATTTACGGAATCCCCAGGGTACGGGTCTCATCCACCCTGCCCCGCTGGTTGGCCAATTTTCGTCATCTGTTGTCATGAAGTCCTGGTCTTTAAAGAACCCGGGTGGCATTGCTTGGCGTTCTTTGGCTGAAACGTACACCGCGGTATAGTAGTTAGCACCGAGGAAATCTGAAGTGCCTTTCAATAGTTGTTTTTCTTCTTCTGTAAATTCCGGTAACCTTGACGTTGTTAAACCTTGGGCTAGACTTTTCTTCATCACCTTGTCTTTTATGACTTCCGGGTAATCGCCGTTCACGAAGATCGGGTGGGCGAACCATCCAAATCCGAACTGCATGTACCGATCAGCTGCCGCTTTGTCTTCTTCAGAGTCTGTGGCGGCCTGGCCCCAGCTGCAGTTCAGCGTGATACCACACTTCCCCTTCTGCGTTGACCGATATCTATCGTTGTATGTGTGCCATGCCTTGGCGTGGGCCTTTAAGACGTTGTGGGCTGCCCTATACACCGTTGTACCCTGGTGTTTCAGACCAGGAGCGTGCACTCCAGTTTCCAGACCGACTTTCGTGAAGACGTAGGGCTCGTTGAATGTTATCCACAGTTTTACCTTGCTGCCATATTCGTTGAAACAGAAGTCGGCGTAGTTATCGAAATGCACGGCCATGATATCGTTATCCCACCCACCCATGTCCTGTAGAGCTTGGGGAAGGTCCCAATGGTACAACGTCACCATAGGCTGGATACCGGCTGCCAGGAGTCCGTCGATTAATTTATGGTAATAATCAACCCCCGCCATATTGATTCTATTCCTGGTACCGTCCGGGAATACCCTCGACCATGCGATGGAAAATCGATAATGTTTCATCCCCATTTCTTTCATGATTGCGATATCATCTTCATATCGATGGTAACTGTCACATGTCACGTCGCCTGTCTGGTTGTTATAGGTGCGACCAGGTGTGTGCGTGAAAGTATCCCAGATACTGGGACCTTTCCCGTCCTCGTTCCAGGCTCCTTCTATCTGATAAGCCGCTGTGGCCACGCCCCATGAGAAGTTACTCGGGAATGTGCCGTAAAGAAAGGAGTCCCGTTCTGGGTCTTGGAATTCCCTGTATACAAACTTCTCGTATCTTTGTTCAGCTCTGATTAACTCCCTGTAACTGAGCACTACGAGACCAAGGAGAAAACAAAACGCTATCTTTGAACAGAAAGACGATCTCCAAATGGCCCTCGTTGTGGTCCTACGGTTGATAAATAGAAAATGCACCATGAGAAATCACTAATCTATGAGTTCTATGTGCTTTGCCTTTTAAATAAAAATGACAATTCTGTAGCTTTATCACTTTAATTATCAATCACGGTATCATAATAATAATAATAATAATAATAATAAACAACCCAAATGTTGAATATTATGACAATAAATCCCATAGCTCCAAGCAACTGTTATACATCACATTTCAAAATGGCGCCGAACAAAGTACTAATATTTGATTTGAACATTATATGTGTTGGCCATTTTGAATTCAGGTGACCAAATGTACATGCGAATGGACCGCATATACTATCAATATATAACCTATACAACTAATGAAATAGAAAATACTACCAATAGTAGAATTCTTCCCGGTACTCCCAAAGGTTAGAGGTCAAATCTAACCACATTAAGTACTCACCGATATAGCATGATACCTTAAATACAAATGCGAACGGATTAAACCCCTGTTCACTAACGGGTATTCCTACCGCAAATGTTCAGAAGTGCACCCAAAGTTATATAATATCATAATTGGTTAAAATTTAACTGTCCGATGTCGTCACGATGGCGTCGTCAACGTTTTATAACGACGCATCGTGATTCACCCAGTACATGACTAACAGTAATTACGATAGTCAGAATGATACTTACCAGTGTAGTCGTTTGATACAGAAGCATAAAACCCTTCTCAGTGCCATATTTCGAATTATTAACTAACAGAAATTATTCTCGCACCAGCGTACAGAGAGAAATGGTCCAGCGTCAGAACCGGTGGCGGAGACACGTTGCCCAATCAGGGTGAGCAGGACAAAGGACCAACTGAGTAAATTTTATGAATATTCCACTATGACAACAAGCTTGCTCATTTTCCGCGCACCCGGTGTCACAGGCTAGATCGGATTAGTGTTAAAATGAAAAGGCTCGTGTTGGCACAGATTGCGGCAGAAGGAGAGAGGGTCCCGCGCATGCGCAAGTGCCACACGGGCCAATAGAGGACGTGAACGATACGATTATTTTTTCTCGGTGCACTGTAAATATAGAACGCCATGAAACGCAGTTACAATATCAATCAAAACACGACATGGAAGTGTTAAACATTTAAGAAAATAAACTGCGATTAATAGTGAGTTTTAATATTACACAAATTTATCACAGAATATAACTCTGAATGATAACCATTTCCCGTGTCACTTTTCAAAAAAAAGATTACGTAATTTATAGGCATTCATTTCATGGGGCGTGCTATACGTTTCCCGTGCCCTTTGACACATTGTAACGATTTATGTTGAACAATTATACGTCAGAATGGGATGAATTGGTTATTTAGTCCACAGCTGTTTCACGTCAACAAAGTCGTTGACACAGTGGTGACAGGGCATCGATGTATTTTACGCAATTAATAGTAACGAGTCAGTGATGGACAATACTGACCGCGCGAAATAGGTGGTTATCGGGCTTCAAGCCTACATGGATGTGACGTTTTCATTTGCGTCTCTTGTTTACTATTACAACTACGATATTGCTTCATACCAGAAAATTACAATATCCCGATTCATTATCATAAGATCAAATCTGTAATTCAACTACGGTCTTCATTATTAACCTTTTATCATGGCTTACCATTTATTATTTGCATGATTTTGTTTAAATAGCTAGCCAACGACCATTACAGAATATTGGCGACGTTATTACAGGTGGTGAATGCTAAGAAGTAAAACACACCGAGATGTGAATAAGTGTAATAGAGTTATCTATGTCACCCAATCCGCTTAAATTGTCAGCTAATGTTAGCAGTATTTATAATAGTAACGGAACTGACAAATCTACGATATTCAAACGCTTGAGGGCGCAACGTACAACTCTTGAAACTATTGTGTGTGTAATAATGACGATACATGCAATTCAGTATAGCATAGTTGTGTCTGGCGAGTCGTTGGGCATTTTGCGGAATACTAATTTACATATATCACGTATTATTTAGTCGTGGCGTCGCATTGGATATTATAGTAGTATTATTTTCATGACTGCGCTGGTGACGAGTCTTCTCATTGCATTTCACAGCTTGCATGTCCGCACTACATTTCTGAGTTCTCTACCGGAAATCCGTTGTTCCGTATTATTTCTGCATATACCTTGGCGGATGCCTTTTGCTGTCGCCGTCTGTCGGGGTCGTCGAAGTGAACGAAGTGCAGACCAAATCGAGTAGCATATCCATCCGCCCATTCGAAGTTATCAAGCAACGACCACGCAAAATAACCAGCAATGTTGACACCGTCTAATTTCCAAGCTACAATAAACAACAGTGAAAAACTTTCGTAAATTGCATAAAGTTGCCACACTGCAATGCACTCAAAAGCGATGTGTTTATAGTTTATCACTGACATTTTTTAAGTCTCATTTTGTACTATGTATGTGTGCGTGCACCAGTGAAATGCCAAAATGGTGATGTATTTTGATTTAAAAGAGGGTCGGCAAAGGGTATTTTCGTAAGCTGTAATCAATTGTTTTTATTCTCGTAGTAATGTCATTTAAATAAATAAAAAAACGTAAATTCGTAGACATGGGCAAGGTGTAAAATGTAATCAGCTGTTTTGTTCCCAGTCGTCCGTAATTCGTTCGAAAATATTTTTTGTAAGAGTATAAAGTATTTTGCAAATTAAATGTAATTCGAACGCAATTTCCAATTTTGATTCTTAAACTCAAATTATCAAAAATATTATACAAATGTAAAATGTAATGAGGAATTTGCTTTATCTGTAAAGTGTAAGAATTTTTTTTACTGTGAATGAAACTTTCATTTTATTTCCTGTAAAAAACATAAAATGCCGTTTTTATTTCATGTAACCTGTACCAGCTATCCCCCTTGCCCCTCTCAAAATGTGATATGAAAATGTTAATAGCAATAGTGCCCAGGGATATCGTTACAGATATTCCGGGATGGTGACGTCACGAAACAACTCTACAATTTGCCATTATCAATGTGGGAGTGATAGTATTAATTTATGATTAGTTGAGAACAACAACAAATCGAATGTAGATCCATGGCGAATTTTAAATACCTCCCAATAAACATAAAATTGTTAAATCAACAATGGCAGTCCGCAATAATCAAAATAAATTATATTGAAAATTGTTGCTACAACATTGAGATACCTGCATCACTTCGCTGTACTGTGTACTTATTCGTGCCGATAGATGGCGCTTACCTTTGAGTGTTTCGTTTATATGTGACAAGTAATACTTAGATCGCCATGTGTCGTTTAACATTGCTTGTGTATCACTGTGTTCAGGCACTCCGTTCTCGGTGATATAAATGACTGGATTGCTGTACTCTTCTTTCATCCATTGTAACAGTTTTCGTAGTCCCCATGGGGTATGTCTCAACCAATCGGCGCCACTCTTTGGCCATGCGTCATCAAGCCACGACAATACATCCATATCAGATTCATACCCGGGTGGGAACAGTTTGGTCTCTTGGTGGCGTATTTTCTTCGAGGTGTAGTAATTGATTCCCAAGAAATCGGCGCTCCCCGAAAGAAGCAGTCGCTCCTCTTTACTTAAACTCGGAAGCCTTGATGACGTTAATCCCTGTGCTCGGCTTTTGTTGGCGATTTTCGTCTTCATTATTTCCGGATAGTCGCCGTTGCCGAAGATAGGATTCGCGAACCACCCAAGCTTGAACTGCAAGAACCGATCAGCAGCCTTGGAATCCATCGCCGATCCCGTCTCCGCTTCAACCCACCGTGAATTTAATGATATTCCGACAACCCCACGTTGTGATTTACGGTACTTCGCGTCGTACGTATGCCAGGCAGCGCCATGTGACTTGAGGAGATTATGCCCGACGCGATAGACGGTAGTGCCCTGGTGAGCAAATCCTGGAGCGAATCTCCCTTCTTCATATCCAGCTACGGCGACCACGTATGGCTCGTTCAACGTAATCCATAGCTTCACTTTATCTCCGAATTCTCGGAAACATACATCGGCATATTGATTGAAATATACAACAATCATGTCGTTTTCCCATCCACCTATATCCTGCAGTGCCTGTGGAAGATCCCAGTGGTACAGAGTAACCATAGGTTTAATGTTGGCTTCCAACAATGCATCGATTAATTCCCGATAGTAATCAATACCAGCTTGGTTGATTGCCTTATTGGTACCGTCTGGCAGAATACGCGGCCATGATATGGAGAAACGGTAGTGTGTCAACCCAAGTTGTTTCATGAGTTCTACGTCTTGGTATATTTTATGGTAACTATCGCAAGCAATATCCCCATTATGGTTGCCATAGATATTGCCTTCATGGTGGGAGAACGTATCCCAAATACTAGTACCTTTGCCATCCTCGTCCCAGGCCCCTTCTATTTGATAAGCTGCTGTGGCTGCTCCCCATGCAAAGCCCTGCTGGAATGTTCCCGTGATAGCTCGATCTCTGTCTGGGTTCTGAAATTCTTCGTATACAAATCCAGATTTGTGTGTGTCTATTGGTAGACGCGGTTTGTTTTCCATATTATTTTTCGAATAAATCTCGTGCAATTTGGATTTAAATGACTTATACCACCTCCAGTTACACGAGACTGCCTAAAATAGTAAGAAACATAGTTTAGCAATTACGGAGAAACACTTTTTTTACGTTAATAATTATAGTGGGTTACGCCCTCTGTAGACTGCTGTCGAGAGACGTCGAATTAAATTTGACACAGAGGGCGCAACACGAATATATATTGTAGCGCGTCACGTGATTTTCAACGGATACAGGATATAATATTATATCACATAGTATGGTGTTAGTTCCGCCGAGGATATGATGGAACCCATGATGGTACTGAACGGGAAGAATGGAAATAAGATGGTGTCAATTAATTTCCTCTATAAACATGTTACAAATTTCGGGTACTAGTACCATACAGAAGTATTCTCCTTCTTAGAATTCCTTGCGGCTAGAACATTGAGCGTATCTCTTTCACGTTGTGTCGTCACAGGAAGCGCTGTCTCAGCACTGGCCTGTGTAACATGATGCCTTACTAGCCGATTTTGACTAAAATTGGGGTGAAAACCAGCCATTTTCCCTCTTCGTAACCATTGTTAGTACATCCATGTCGTAACTGACCTAGCTCCCCCCTGTTTCCGCTGAAAAAATCGAGCACGTTTTTGCGCACATACACTAAGGAAGTTATTGGAATGTTTACGTACAGTCCCCTCCCTCTCGTGCACACATCAGCTTGTCGCGGCCATCCGCACTCGCTCGGGCCAGACCACTTGGTGGCGCGCCGGAGACGCCTCTGAAGTGACCGGACAAACAGCTCACAGCATATCATTTCTTCAAAATCATATCATCAAAATCTGTGCCAGTATTTTGTTGTGGCACTATCTGCTTTAATTTTGATAGGAAACATAACAAGTTCACCCCTTATACCTATTGTAGGTATCATTTTATTAACGCCAAGAATAAAACGATAAAGAGAGCTACAGACCTGTTCCAAGAACATTGTTGTCATTTAATAATTCACAGGCCCATATTTCTGAGCCGTACATTAAAATTGGCGGAATAAGTTGGTCAAACATTTTATTACTTAGTGTAGCGTTTCTTATTGTAAATAATGTTTTCATAGCTTTATTTTTCAACATTTGGTTGATGAGCTTGAATTTTCCATTGGTGGTGAAAATTAACCCAAGGTAAATGAATTCTTTCACTGAATTTATATTTTGATTATTTATTTTGAAGTTTTTATTTTTCAATAAACGACTACCTTTATTGAAGATCATAATCTTTGTTTTCTTTGTATTTACAGTGAGATTCCATTCAGTGCAGTAATTTATTAAGGCAATTTTGTAGGCCTTCTGCAGTGTTGGATACTAGAACCAGGTCATCTGTATATTGAATACAGCTTAAAGGATTACTGGGTTAAATATATTAGGCTAAAATATGCTAGAGAGGTCATTTAGGGAAATATTGAATAATGTTGGGGACAGGTTACATCCTTGTTTTACCCCCAAAAGTAGATTCAAAGCTGCCAGTAACACCTGATGGCAGCTTAACTTTATATTCAGTGTTTGTGAAAATGGATTTAATTAGACGAGCACCCAGAAACGGGGTCCGGAAAGGAAAGATGGCCGCCAATTTTCAGTATGCAAATGACACTCAAGCGTGAAACATCGCTTCGTGGTGCTCGCAAAACCACTCTTTTCGGCAATCTTAACGCCTGTGGTGCTTTATTTCCATGTCGACACTGGAGGTGTTAGTAAGAAAACAAGACTGCATGGGGAGAGAGTTAGCAGAAAGATGGGTTCTTAGGGGGCCAGGGGCCCGGTACCAAGGAGGGCTGCTGGTATGGCAGCCACGGGACAGAGAGGATGGTTTGGAACCATTGGCAGTGAAACCAACAACATACGCTCTTTAGTTTGACCATCGTACTGTCAGAGCTAGGCCCCATGAGTAGCAGGTATTAGCACATTTAGGAATTCCTAACGGTTTGCCCGAACGCACGGCACAGTTTGAGGCGTGGCCTGTTCAGCATTTTGTCAACAACCAATCACAAGACTGGTTACGACCACTTCGAGGTCATGACTCGGTTAGCCTTGCTCAACTGGTTCGTAACCAGTCTTTTCGGGTTTAAAAAATGTGAGCTGGCTGGAGCCCTTGCCGATACCCCCCTCCCTCGCTCATAGAGACTGCGTACTACAGTTGATTATAGTTCCTGGGCTCCCTGTGTTATTAGTTGTCAGAGATTTATACTGAGCATGCGCATCAGAGGCCAGTTCTACTGTGTACTACACAGAAGTGGGTATGTATATTCGTACATTTCACTGCTACTTTCAGCGAAACAAAGGCATTCGTTTCATCTTTATAAATATTTATATAATTTCACAATCCAAACTGAAACGAGAGGTTTCTATTAAATAACTCTGGAACGTTTTCAGACGATATTGTTTCGCACTGTGCTCGTTGATTTGATTTAACGGCCGTGTATAAATATTTATAAAAATAAAATGCTTTTGTTGCGCTGAAAGTATCGGTCTTCGTTCATCATTCCTTAGCTTATCTTCGCCCCAAATACTCAGTCATTCCCCTAACTGTACAATCGCTGCCCGGTACAGTGGCAGCGACTACTACTTCCGGGTGTAACGCCTCCGAGGCATGACCTTCGATGCGCCAGAGGAAACAGAGTTTAAAATACACCATTTGTGGTACATCTGGCATTTGATTATTAACCTACGAAATACTACATATTACTGGCTCGTGACCTACCTCGTGAATGATTATGGTGCGTCACGTATGTGAAGTGAATTCCGGGTTGTTTAGTCCACGTGAACTTTTAATACTACGTAATCGGGGTCACGACACGCCCTCTAAGGCGAATTGTGAAAAATGATCAATGTTTATTTTTAGTCTGTATCGAATTGCCTGTTCATTTTTTTACCCTTTTGCTCCGTCGAATAATTTAACAGGACCCTACGATAATAATTAGAAAGCGTATATTAATCTTTGATACTAGGTAATAAAAAAGCATTTTACGTTTTTTATAGGAAATAAAATGAAAGTTCCATTTACAGTAAAAAAAAAAATAGATTTTTACACTTTACATATAAAGCAAATTTCTAATTACATTTTACATTTTTATAATATATTTGATAATTTGTGTTTGAGAATCAAAATTGGAAATTGCATACGAATTGCGACATTTAATGTGGAAAATGCTTTATGCGCTCACAAAAAATACGATCTTTGTACAAATTACGGACGAATAAAATGGCCTATTACATTTGACTTGCCACTGTCTACGAATTTACGTGTTTTATTTATTTAAATTACATTATTACGAAAATAAAAACAATTGATTACAGCTTACGAAAATACCTCCTGTCGACCCTCAATAAACATGCAGTGGTGCACTAGTTTTGTGTTCCCTTATCCGGTATCACTCAAGTTCGCTTGATACGTCTGTGTTTGATTTAAATTCCCATTTCAAAAGCCATTCTATATGTATTAATTAATTACTCCAGTAATGCAACTTCAACATTTTCTCCTGTGTTCAGGAACACGTAAATCCCTGTTACTACGTTATTGTCAGCACGCCTTCCAGAATGTCGTGTCGGCCTAGTTCTCAAACAAAGTTACCTGAATCGGAGTTTGTATACAAAGAATTCCAGAACCCCGACAGAGATCGAGCTATGACGGGAACATTCCAGCAGGGCTTTGCATGGGGAGCAGCCACAGCAGCTTATCAAATAGAAGGGGCCTGGGACGAGGATGGCAAAGGTGCCAGTATTTGGGATACGTTCTCCCACCATGAAGGCAATATCTATGGCAACCATAATGGGGATATTGCTTGCGATAGTTACCATAAAATATACCAAGACGTAGAACTCATGAAACAACTTGGGTTGACACACTACCGTTTCTCCATATCATGGCCGCGTATTCTGCCAGACGGTACCTCCAAGACAATCAACCAAGCTGGTATTGATTACTATCGGGAATTAATCGATGCATTGTTGGAAGCCAACATTAAACCTATGGTTACTCTGTACCACTGGGATCTTCCACAGGCACTGCAGGATATAGGCGGATGGGAAAACGACATGATTGTTGTATATTTCAATCAATATGCCGATGTATGTTTCCGAGAATTCGGAGATAAGGTAAAGCTATGGATTACGTTCAACGAACCCTCAGAGTTTATCAAAGAAGGTTACGAAACTGGTTGCCTAGCGCCAGGGTTAAAGCACCAAGGTACGAGCGTATATCGAGTTGCCCACAACGTGTTACTATCCCATGGTACAGCCTGGAGGACATACGATAATAAGTACAGGGCCTCCCAGAAAGGGATGGTTGGCATTTGCTTAGTTTGTAATTGGGCAATACCATATTCCAACAGTAAAGAGGATGTTGATGCTACTGAACGATTCATAATGTTCATGTTTGGATGGTTCGCGAACCCAATATTTGGCAGCGGTGATTATCCAGAGGCTATGAAACAGCAGGTCATGATGAAGAGTCGTGAACAGGGACTGACGTCGTCTAGGTTACCAGATTTTAATGAAGAGGAGAAATCGCTGATACTAGGTACGATGGATTTTCTTGGGTTGAATTACTACACAACAAAACGTGTACGCCATCTCGCGTCGCCCACGTACCCCGCCAGTTTAGACGCCGACCAGGATTTGCATTGCACATACGATGACGATTGGCCCACGAGTGGTTCAACGTGGCTGAGACCAGTACCTTGGGGATTTAGAGAACTCCTCCGCTGGGTGAAAAACAAGTACAACAACCCGCCGATATACATCACCGAAAACGGCTTCTCCGATCCGAATCTGGAGAGCGAAGGTTATCCGAATCTGGACGATATATGCAGAAGCAAGTATATCAGAAGTCATATTAACGAACTCCTAAAAGGTAAATAATTGAAATAATTGAGTGGCTATGATTTTGGCTGGTAACCCGAAACACGCATCTATCGGGGGGGGGGGGGGGGTAATCTAGTAGTATTGTCCATGCATATACATTTACTAATTCCTATAATAAAATTAGCCAATTTGTAGCTGTTCCACTGATATCTCACAGAAATATTCTTCAAATTCCAACGACACTAGGTCGAGGGTATAAGCCGAAAATCTGGTTAGTTTAGGGTTGAAACCTGTGTTTATTAATCAACTGGTTTGCATACCATTTAGCAAACGTTTTGTATTTCTGTCGAAATTAATAATAAATGCACGCACAAAGAAGAAGTGTTGGTCCGAGTGGAAAATCATTTTTGTGAATGATTAAGTTATTATTTTGTTTAGTATATGCTGCACATTTTTTGTTTCTTGCTAACTATTTGTTTTTTAGCATATATCATGGACGATGTTGATATTCGAGGATACATGACTTGGTCACTAACGGACAATTTTGAATGGTGCGATGGATATTCCAGTAAATTCGGTCTATATCATGTAGATTTCACTGATCCTTCAAGACCAAGAACGCCCAAGACTTCCGTCAAGACTTACAGACAAATAGTAAAAGACAACGGATTTCTATAATAATCAACTAAAAGGGGCGACTGCAATTTTCAATATATTAAAATATTGTATAAATATTATTTTTAGAAAATATAAAGGCTTTTGAAATTTTGAAATGTTCAACAGTTTGGGAAAAAATGAAAACATTCTTTTCTCATTATTATTTCTGACTGCAAGTAGACTTAGATTAAAGTCACGCGAGAAAATGATTCAGTTAATTGTTTGATTAATTGTGAACGTTAAAGAGGGTGGTCGTCGTCCTACGCATGTGCGGGATTTGGGTCGGAAAACAATGATTTCTTATAACCGTGTGCACTCCTTTACTGTCAAGCATGAATAATAGTGTTGATCTGGCCGCTTTCAGCGCGTTTCACTCATCCGAAACATTATCTAGTTAAACCACGGTCCCACCTTCTGATGGAGGAATTGTGGTTAAACGTTGGCATAGCCACATTTTTGTACGCGCTGATCTGCACAATAATCAAAGTCGCCATCTTTGTTAATATGGGACCCCATATCTCACGCATGCACACCGCGCCACCACGCCCTTTGTAATATTTCGCGGTGGAATCTTAATAATATATTTACTTATTAAAAGGCGGTAGTCGTCGCGCCACGCATGCGCGAGATATATGGGTCTCATATAAACAAAGACGGCGACTTTGACTGTTGCGCAGATCAACGAGTACAAACTGAGACGTTGCCGAGCTTTAATTAGGTATTCTTTATGTGATTGGAAGGTATCGAAGGAGTCATCGGCGGTAATTAGTGCAAGGCGTGCCCAGGTAAAACCTCATTCGTGATTTCCAGTAGAAAAGCGCATTGGATGGTGGGAAAATCAATGTTTATCAACACATATGTCGCACATGCGCAGACTCGTGACCTCCTTTAACTGAGCTGTGTTCTGTCATGTACATGTACTACTTTTTGATACTAAACTTCTCCCAATACTTACGTAATAGAGTTAAGTAATGGGGTTTTCGCGAATGCAATGATTTTGATTTCTGTCATTTTATTCTGAAGGCACAAAATAATGCTTCAATACTAGCAGTTAGAGATTAACTTGGGCGCTATACTCTACACTTGTAGATCAGGAAAAAATTATAATTTACTAGCTCGGACTTTTGTCCTTGCCTCACAACCGTATAAGCTTCACATGTTATACTTATGGGCACCAGGAATCTGGACGAGATAAAAATTGTTAGGCAAGAAATATGAAGTCTTTTCCAGAGGAATTGATTATGCATGGGTTTGCCAGAACAATGATTGCATTTAGAAAAAGATTTCGTGATACAAAAATCCAACACTGGCGAGCTAAAGTAAATGAATATTTTACACTTAGTCAATTTAAAATTTCGTTATTTTGCTTCTTTGGCTGTGTTGTATTTTATATTAATAATTGTGTTTCTCAAAGATTGACAATATTTCTGATATCAAAATGTTTGACTTTATACCACATGACAATCATACAGTCATGGAACAAATATTCACAAGTCAGAGAGATTATGTATATTTTCATATATTTGAGTCAGCACAAAGAAACACTCCACATTGTAATGTACTGATTTTATATTCTGGTTACAAAAGTGACATATATACATCATCCAGAGTATGTTATCAGGCAGCTGAGAATCCAGTATCTGAGTGTACGAAAATAAGTGAAATTTAGAATAATGTAAACTATTTATGTCAGCATAGCAAACATACTCTCTAATCTGTTATGTACGTGTACAATGCAAGTATCTGATACAAAAGATCAGCACACATTTCTTCATAATCATTACACATTAATCACAGATGGTATGAAAGTACCTGATATGTCCCCACCACGTGACTATCTATCATGCTTTTATTACAATACATGTATAAATACTCTCTACTTGTTCAATATGAAACCGGATTGTATATACATCAAACCATATGCTTAATCACATTTTATGAACTAGGTATATACAATACCTACATCCGGTTATTATATTAAGGATGTTTAAATGAACTCTACATTTCTGTACATCATGGTTATCATAATCCCAATGTTACAGCCCCAAAGTGCATGGCATTGTAGTTAAATCCTAACAATATTATAAAATCAATTATATTTTAGAATGGAAATTTAATTTATGATGACAATGCTTAACAAATTATGTTACCAGCATTCTCTTTCAGATTTAGACCTCTTGCATTGGACTGTTTGGGGATCTGCCAGTATCCTCTTTTATGGAGTTTTTGAATGTAATGGCGTCCTGACAGTGTTGATGAACTCAACATGATAGACATTAAGATCAGTACCAAGACGAAGGCTACAGATTTGTTCATTACAATTATTAAACCTGTTAATGAGACAGATGAGTTGTCATTATTCATTTATCGTAGTTGCAGAGACAATGACCACTTGCCATGCTTTCACAATTGCTGGACGCAAACTAGGGACAGCCGCCAATGGTGGCGCTATACAATTGTAAAGACTTTGTATGCTTACACAGATATTCTACTAGTATAAACAAGCAGCCTATCGATTGAGATAGCTCCGCTATTAGCAATGCACATTTCAATTAAAGATCTGAAGATAACAATATGTATAGTATCAAAGTAATCGGACTTGCTGTTTTCAACAAGAATTCGAAAATATCACTTTTCACCAAATTATTCACTCAAATTAGAGAATTAAAGATATCACAAAATAAACAAATCTGAGAGAGATCCACATGTAGTACCTATATATGTAATATCAAAGCAATTCGATTTTTGGTTTTTAACAAGAAGTCGAAAATATCAATTTTCATCATCAGAATTAGAGAATTGAAGATATGAAATGAACAAATCTAAAGGACCCACATGTAGTACCAATATGTAATAATTTCAAAGCAATTGGACTTGTGGTTTTTAACAAGAAGTCGAAAATATCACTTTTTACCAAAATTGACAAAAATATTCACCACAATTAGAGAATTGAAGATATCAACATGAAATGAACAAACCTAAGAGAGGTCTACCCAAGGTACATATACACCAAGTATCAAAGCATTCAGGCTTGTAGATTTCAAGAAGAAGTCGAAAAAGTAAAACACTGACACGGACGATCAAAGTCAACAACGGAGCTAAAAAAGTTCACTGCAATGAAAAGCGTGTAGATCTCATAATTACGACACTAGACGATAGACAAACAAGTATAGTTTTCAAAAACAATGCTCACGCTACAGCCACGCGCATACCCTCAAATTGGAAAATTGGTATTATTACTCTTCGAAGGTACATTAACAGCTGATTAACAGTTAGTCAACAAAACAGGCTCGTGTTTGTTTAAATAACAAAATTTAGTCTTCACTGCTGCATTTCTAAATTTACGTAGTATGATGTTTGTCTACACACAGAACAAATGTTTCTGACAATCAATGTCGGCATTTTCTTCATGAGTCACAAGTTTATGTCCAAGCAACAAAGTTAACATTATATAAATACAATTATGGACATTTGTTCATGTAATTGCGACCATAGACATACATAGATTTAGGTTTATTTTGAGTTAGATAATGCCATGCTCATCAGCGTATAACACAGATATGTCCAATTTTGCACAAACCTTAAATAGAGGGCGCAATTATACACATATCTGTGTGGCTCAAAGTGTTTATAACTTTATAACCAATAAGTATACCACATGGCATGCTGTTCCTTTGAAATTATTCATATAAATACTAAACAGTCCTGGAGACATTACCCCTTCCTATCGAACTGCATTGGAAACATTAAAATATTAGTTTCCCATCTAACACAGTACAATTGGTTGCCAATTCAGAAGACGACATACGATATCCATTTGGTTCACTTTGTTGAAAATCTTGGATGCGTCAAGAAATCACACAAATACACTTCTACCAAGACCATTATTCTGGCGAATGATTTATTTTAAGAGTAGAATACAGAGTTCTGTGGAATGTTCAGCACATTTAGACTACTAGATTTCTTTAGCGGCAGGTTTTTATTATTCCCAATAATTTCCACAGAGGACACACAAGGAGCTTTTTGTGGATTTCGGTAACATGATTTAACACTTTAGTCGTATATGTGCCATTCGTGATGGAGTTGATTCAAAATGTTTCGCCCACATGTTTGTAATAGAGGTTCAGTTTAAAAACACATCGCGACGTATGTGGTAGGTTAAACATTAACCGCAAACACCCAAATCATTGATATTGTCTAATACATGGATATATTACACCAGTGTAGTCTAATGCAATTATATGCTTAGAAAAACGAATACACAATCTTGCACGTACGACGCCATAAATGTATTGCATGAAACTATGGTTTATTTCGATTTAACCTTGGTAGGGTTCTCGTCTACAGCATTATCACTCGTCCTTACAAAAGTGAAGGTTACGGGACTACTCACTACACACACGGCAAGAGAGCAGGTACATTCAATACTCTTTATAGATATGCTAGTCATACTTTACTATTCTTAAACAATATTGATACAATCAATCACTAGCATCAATAGCTAACTTAAAAGGCTTGCTAAAATTTAGAGAAGCCAAAATGGGTTTTCACTAAAAAAAAATCCCAATTTTCGCTATAGATAACCATATCATCACACAACCTTGTTTCACTATCCACTTGGCGCTGGAAAGTTGCTGGGCGTTTTTCATACCTAATGTATTAATTCTGTTTTTGTTTTACAACCATAGTAGATCTTCGTGTCGAATAAAATTGTTATTATACCTAATGGAAGAACCTTTCAATGAAACAAACCATCAGACATAACAAAGGCTGGGATTTATTCGGCTTTATTAGTCAGAGGAACCTGCCAATACTCTTTTAAGTAAATCTACCTTACTGATGTACTTTGCGTTCCCAACTGATAATGATAAAGACATACATACGATAGTTCAGCAGGATAAATTTGAAACAGAAGGTTGCAAACAATTCCTGATCCAAATCAAGAAAATGTTTAATGACACCACGCAACCCATTACTATCAGGTGAGTAATTCTGTCTCTTCAACCCAATGACAAGTCTAA